GAGGTGACACTCTACTGCAGCTGCGGATCCATTTACTTTATACGCAGCTTCGAGGACGGTCTTTTCATTTGCACATGGAAAGAACCGTCCTCGGAGGTGAGTGTACAGTTAATCTTCTATGTGCTTTTGAAATCAAGAGGGGGCCCTCACCTCAATGAACGCTCTATCTCTTTGCTATAATAACCGCCCCCACCCTTCTGCACACCCCCTCCCCACACTCAATCGACCATCTCAGTAGAACAGGGTAAGCAAGTAGAGGTGATTGAACTCAACCGAAAGCAAAGAGTAGAAAACCCGCAACTCACATGGTAGTATCGCTAGTACCGTATCTTCAAGAACACAATTTCTAATCAATACCCGCAAAAGCTTCAGTACAGAAAAAGTATAGAAAATACGCTACAGCATAGAGAAAATAGTGAACACAGCAGAACGTCTAAACTCCAGTACTTACCGGTTTGCAAGGATAATCTCCGATCGATACTCTACCATACAATGCTGGAAGAACCAGGAATGAAAGACGCGAAGTTGAAATATGAGGAATCCCAAAGCGATCGCATCGAAACCTATTTGAGCTTCTTGCGGGATCACCGAGCACTGACGATCCAAATCAGTTTCTGCAATATAAAGAAAATGTGATTTTTCAGGATATAGGTCTGAGCAGTAAGGCATAGACTTACCACCACTGAACAGCGGATCGGCGCCAACCAGTTTTCGAGCTTGTACAACTGAGTTCACACAGACAATGCTATAACAGAAACCTATGCAATAAGGTAGTTCACATTCTTTCATATGCAGGCAAGCAAAATGACCTATGTGGCCGAGAAGAAAACTTGGAACAAGCTAGAAAATCAGCTATCTTCCATGGATAATGTCCCATGTTCTCTAGGCATGAAAATTCAGCACTCATATAAATGCTAAAGAAACTATTTTGTTATGATAACTGCTGTTTAACGCCGCAGTACGCGTTCCGAATGTTATCAGTTCGACTCCCGCCTGGGGCACGACTTTTGCCCACAACTCAGCATTCTTGTGATAAAGAAACTATTTTTTTTAACCAATGAGTAAGGGGCTGTTTGGTTTAGGGGAGGACATTTCGCACTCCGGTTTCTCTGCTAGTTCTTGTTTAATTACAAGGTCCACCATGGCAAAATCTGTAGATTGTTGTCCGTAAACAAAACTCATGCTACTACATAGCTTTACAGGAATTCACAGGTCTCTGTGAAAGGCACTGGTGAGTGATCAACGGGAGAACCAGAAAAATGCCCGTG